GCTTTACCGACAGACCGAAACAGACCAATCACGACCGACTTACGTCACTTGAGTCTTACAGCCAATAACATCACGGCAAAACCAACCGATCATTTCACACGAACTGGAATAAGAACATTCTACTGACAACAATCATTCACTTGACTCTGATGATGACTTCCGCACAGGTTGTCGAAACGTCAGTCACTGCCACCGACAACAGTCCTTCTCAGGACTACACTCACCCGGACGATCAGACTACACCTTCAAAAACTTTATTGTTCTCCTGAAAAATCAGAGCCGTCTTATTGAAACTTGAAGACAATAAAAGCCGGCAAAGAAAACACTGTAAAAGCAAGTATCTGTCACAGCGATGTCAGCAGCAATAAGATTATGACGCCTTACAGAAAAGCTGCCTGGAGCGCTCAAAAAGCCCAATACATTTTCTTAGACTGTATGGGACTTTCCGGGATACTTGCAGTGCAGGCGATTTGCGTCCCCTCATAGTTCTAGTAACAAGGGTCCTCCAACATCACATTGTAAAACAAGCATCATTCCACCGTGAATAGGTTCTCAAGTTCTAATAGCCAGGGTCCTCGGTCAACATCAACGTATAAGGCAAGCAACAATAACCATTCAAACATGAATAGGAGGTAACGCACCACGGGGACCGTATTTTCTCACTAACAGGGCTTACTGACTCGCTGGTTCCCTCACTCTCTCACCTGAGCTTTCACGAGTCAATTTGTCATTAAATAACGTTTTCGACGTCTTCTAGGTTGACAAGATGAGGGAACTTCCACCCAAGCAGTATTACCTTTTCTTCCCCAACTCCAACATAAAAGGTATTTTCTAAACAGACAAGGGAAGGCGACACTGATTTTGTATATTTCACCTAATCCCACGCAGCCAGGCCTCAAAAGACTTTCTCTGCCAAGAGAAAGCCCCTTTAAAAACTTTTCCACCCTCATGTCGGAGCACATTATGATTTAGCTTGACCCATTTCATATACTTATTAGCATTCCTGCCCTCTCACCCCAAACCCTACGAGGTTAGGGCTCCTCGAAGAGCCTTTATAACAGGGACATCCCTATAAAGCTGTCATATCCTCTCGGGTTATTTTATAGATTTTGCCCTTTTCTGTATTCCACGCGTTGCTTTAACTCCCAATGTCAGGTTCAAGAGTTATGGTAGTTTTCATGGGGGCCTTCTTTTTGATGTCCGCCATGTTGGATTTTTTTGGCCAAGAGGTAGTATGGCCACTTTGGTCAAAATTTTAAATTTCTTTCAAACTCCTGCTATAGGCTCAATGATCCCAACTGGAACTTTAAGCGCTTTTTCAGTGGTCTCCAAAGCTTAAGACTGAGTTTTTCTCACTCTTACCCCTTAGCCAATTTCTCATGTTTTGCTAGTCAATCTTCAAACTAACGTAACTCCATTGTCTCTAGAAGAAATATATTCATATTTGATATGTGACTAGTTCCATACCTTATGTGGTATTCTCTTAAATTGAAAGTTAAGAGCATGACAGGTTGAGGAGTTAGAGCAGTTCCCATGAGGGCATCCCATTTGATGTCCGCCATCTTGGATTTTTTGGCAAAGGGGTAGCATGGCCATATTGGTCAAAATTTTAAATTTATTTGAAACTCCTGCTATATGCTCAATAATCCCCAACAACAGTTTCTAGCGCTTTTTGAGTGGTCTCGAGATCTTAAGACTGAGTTTTTCTCACGTTTAACATTAGGCTGCCAAGTGCTTTCATGTGTTTGTG